TGGGGCATGTGACTGTCCCAGGACAGAGATTTCCAGGCAGAATACACGGCCTTTTGTGCAGTCACCAAGGTAAGAACAGGCCTTTTGAGCTCGGGGAACAGAAGGAAGGAGGTGGGGCTGGTGGACAGAGAGCAAGGCCGCAAGGGAGGTGAGATAAGGTTGGAGAGGTGGCAGGGTCAGGTCATGTGACTCTGCCATGGGACAGGTGGGAATTTGGATGTGTTTTTAGAGCCCTGGGGAGCTAGAAGGGAAGGACTGGTGAGAAGGGAGGAGTAGGATATTCCGTCCCTGCACAAATGGCCCTCTTTGGGCTTCTCTGCTACATGTTCTCAATGTCAAGGATACCAAACACATAGAATAGGGCCTTTCCCTGAGGGGTGAGCTTTTTAGGCCCCAGCAGAAGAGCCCAAATGTCGATACCTTGAGAGACATCAGTTTGATAAAAGGCTGATCACTGGCTGGGTTCAGTGGCTCAGCCTGTAATCCCAGCACTTTGAGAGGCTGAGGTGAGTGTATTGCCTGAGGCCACGGGTTCAAGACCAGCCTGGGCAACTCGGGGAGACCACATCTCTATAATAAATCAAAAATTAGCTGGGTGTGGTAGGGCATGCCTGTAGTTCCCACTGCTTGAAAGGCTGAGGCGGAAGGATCACAGGAGCCCAGCAGGTTGACACTGGAGTGGTCATGAGCGTGCCACTGCACTCCAGCCTGGGCGATGGAGTGAGACTCTAACTCAGAAAAAAAAAAATGACTGATCATTCATTAAACTCAGAGAATATTCTTATAGCACCCACCAGGCTGCAAAAGAGATGTATGCGTGTGCTCAAAGAACAGCAGTGGTTATAAATGGCTCCATCTGGGGACAAAAAGCATGGGCTCTGAAGGATGAGTGGAGTTTGGTAGAACAGATGAAAATGGGAAAAACTTTCCAGCAAAGGGAACCCACATGGACAAAAGACACAGTGTATTAGGGGAATGCCAAATGATCTGCTGTGGCAAAAGATGACCCATTTGGGAAGCAAAATTGAGGTCAGGTTGGGGCAGATCTTGAAGCTTTGGACCATATAGTACGGCTACACTCACATGGGCTTTTATGATAAGTTGCTTCATAAAAGTTGAATCCAAAAAAAAATTCATATGCTCTGAGGAGATTGATCGTTACCCTTAATGATTTGGTCAGCTCTGGCAGTTCAAGCTTAAAATTTTAAAAAATATATTTATTTTTTTACAGATAGGGTTTTGCTCTGTCGACCAGTTTCGAGTGCAGTGTCATGATCATAGCTCCCTGCAATCTTGACCTCCCGGACTCACACAATCCTTCTGCCTCAGCCTCCTGAGCAGGAAGATCTACAGGTGCATGCCACCAGGCCTGACTAACTTAAAAAAATTTTTTTTAGAGACGGGGTCTTGCTATGTTGCTCAGGCTGGTCTTGCATTCCTGGCCTCAAGCAGTCCTCATGCCCTGGCCTCCCAAGTAGTTGGGATTACAGGCTCGAGTCACCACACCTGGCTTAAGTTTTACATTTTAAGTCCTCCTGCTCTGGAAAGGTGAGCCCTGAATCGAGCAGTTGTGGAAGGCCTGGTTCACGTTCTGTCTTGACTCATACTATCCCATGAGTATGGCCCAGCTGACTCAGCTGTCCAGTCAAACCCTTGGTCAGAGAATAAGTTTGTGGGATGACATCAGGAGTCTCAGGTTTCATCGCCAAGGTCCCAGCAGCCCCTTTCCCCTTTTCCATCCAGCAATGGGGAAGTCTAGACAACCAGTCCCCTGTGGGTTGCATGGCCCAGTGTCTGTGTTCTCAGCCATTGTTGTCTGGAACCCCATGCTTGGCTTCCAGAATGTCACTTTTGGCCATCATTGCTCTTCCCCTCTCCTCCCCTTGGTAATTTACTTCTGGCTGAAAACCTCAGATACCAAGAAGCATGTCATCTGAACAAGGGCGTGTCTCTCCTGGTCGTTTGGGGGCGAGTTGTGAGCGCTGAAGATGGATCAGTTTACATTTCAGCTGAAGGAGTGTGCAGATCCACAGACACATTACTGAACACCAGGCAGGCATCTGAGTGCTGCCTCCGCAGCGGGCAGTTGCTGGGCTCTCTGGTGGGCGCGCTCCTTGTGGCCTTGCTGCAAGACGATTCGCTTGAAATAGAGATGTTCCTTTTTTTTTTTTTGAGTTGGAGTCTCACTCTGTCGCCCAGACTGGAGTGCAGTGGCCACTCCCGGCCACCGCAGCCTTGACCTGCTGGGCTCCGGCGATCCTTCTGCCTCAGCCTTCCGAGTAGCCGGAATTACAGGCGCATGCTACCATGCCCGGCTAATTTTTTGTTACTGTAGAGATGAGGTCTCACCTGCCCAGGCGGTTCTCGAACCCTAATTGTTTGTGGTGTGGGAAAGCAATACCATAAGAAGTAATTTGCGTAGGCCCAGGGTGTGCGAGAAAGCGCCTGCCTGACGTGTCTTTCTTTTCCATTAACATTTCTGTGATAAACAGCTTAGATGCACCGAGAAAAATTAATGAAACTATTGTAACAATCGTGCATATGTAGGTAATTTATTAAGGACAATTAAAAAGCTTTAAAAATCATCCAGGAGGCAAAATGAACAGGAAGATGGTGTGTGGTGGGTTCTGGCAGGGAGCCGGCCCACGGGTATGTGGAACAGGTTTTTCTCTTTCCATAGCCCTCAGTCTCATCAGAGCACATCTGTGGCAGGAAGCATGCAATACCACCTTTGAAGCTGCTAACAGTAAACATTCCGTGCTGGCTCCCTGTGTCCTGAAGCCAGAGAGACGTGTGGACATATAGGGGGCCATGTAAGGGATGACTCTGAGGTCCCGGACCCCTGTCCGAGAGCCACTTGACTTTATTACCTTCCTTGGGACTCAGGTGTGCTTGTCCCTGGGCTCACTGGGTAACTCTGGGTTATTGGACTTTCTTTTGTGTTGGCTCTGGGAGTCTCAAAACCAGGGGAGAGGCAGCAAGGGAAGCCCAGAGAGGCTAAGATGGCACTGTCATGGTGTCATCCGTCACTTATTAGCTTGGACGTGGGACTGACCTCTGTGCAACTGCCCAGAGCCCCAACTTCCTAATCTGCAAAAGGGGCATCATAGTTAGGAGTAAGCAGAGGATTAGAGCGAGGACCACACAAGATCATGCATGCAAATTGCTTAGCTCCATGTCTGGCATGTGTATAGTAGGTGCTCAGTAAATGCTTAATATTCTCTGATATCACTAAGGGCAACATTATTGCAGTGTTGGCTGAAAGCCAGTGCTAATACTCGGATATCTGACTCCAAGACCAGTGTCCTTTTCAGGACATGCTAATACCTTCCCACTCATCCTGCATATCCCCCCAATGCAGCCCTTGTTTTATAGGAATGCCAACACCATGCCTTGCTCACTCGGCCTACTGAAGTCTCTTTAGAGGGATGGGGCTTCTCTGCCTCTTCCTGGTCTCATCCCTATCCCTTCTCCACCCCTGTCCTGGGCCACGGCCTGAGAACGACAGACCTTCCACACCTTGGGATTTTCTTCACATGTGCAGAGGACTGGGATTGCTAGAATTTGTTTCTTTTTATTGGTTGGTGACCCAAGAAATCTTTGACCTTGTAAAACCATCAATTTCTCAAACGTAGATACATTTAATAAAGCGAGGCTCTGTTAGCGGATGGTGTTGGCCACTCTCTGGGTAGCTATCTTCATTTTATTCTGTTTTCCTCACCGCTTGATCATAGTCACTTAGGTTATGTGTCCATTATAGGCATATGCATCTATTTTCAAGAAGTAATTTTTAGTTCACTTACTGACTAGAAAGGAAAATGAAGTGCTTTAGCGTAGACACGACAGATTTTTTTTCCCTTCCCGTGCTGCAAATGAGCAGTGAAAAATTACTCGCTTTTGCTATTAAAAGCTATAGCACTTGTAAAAAATAGTAAATTATAGGGACATTACCAAAGTTTATAGGCACTAGAATTTGACCTTCAGCAAATTCAACGTTGTAGGGGAACAGGGTTTTTCTTTTCTTTCTTCAAAACGAAAAATGAGAGGGAGGAAAAAGATTTATTTTCTTCTGGAGCTGGAGCAGCAACTAGAAATGGTATTCCCTAGCTTAAAAAGAGGGAAAAGAAAGACTTTATGAAATTATGTAAAGTCATACAAGAAGTCAGTCTCCTTGGAGAATATTAAAACCTTATAGAAAAGGCAATAGTTTCTTTGTACGGCTGGTCCCCCCCCCAGCTCTTATTTTGTATATATCCATACAGACCTTTTTTTGTGCAATTATGTACTCTTCTGTATACTCAGAGAAAATGATTCAGTATTGTGTTGCCTTTGCAGGTTTTCCATGTTCCCAAACTTTTTCTCCTTTCCCCTATTCTTTCCTGAGACTTAGCTGGAAGAAGAGAGATGGAACCAGTGTAGTTTTCTTTAACGTGGGGTTGGACGGCCCAGTGGCTGGTGGTGGTGTTTCTACCCTCTCCTCTCAGTTCTCCTGGGGCTTCATGAGCCTTCCTTGATTGTTAATCCAGGCTAAGACTGAGAAGACGGATGGTTGGAGGACGCAAGTAAGAGGTCAGAAGAGTGAAGAGCTGGGGGCTAATTAAGTACCAAATATCTGTGCCTTTAGTTAGATCCAGATACTCTTCTGAACCAGGAATGTTGAAATTCTCTGTGAGACAGTTGTGCCCTTTGCGGAGTTCTGAACATATAAATGTGTGAGAATGTGGGTGTGTGCATGCGTTTGGGCACCCTTTTAAGGGAGGGACTTCAAGGAGAGGCCGCCCCCTTCTTGGCAGTTATTCTTGTCCTGAAATGTACACATGAGATTCTTAGCTGAATAAAGCAGCCGATGTGAGTGACGTTTGAGGAAGGCACCTTCAAAGAACCGGTTGTTGTTTCTGGAACAGCAGGCTGATCTGCACATGATGGGCTCCTGGCTGTACTGTGACATATCTGCCGCATTAAGTGTCAGCCTGGGGTCCAGCCTCTCTGGGCATCTTTCTGTCTTTTTTCCAAGAGCAGAGGCCCCATAGCTGTTGCCGGATTTTCACAGAGAATGGGTCCCTAAGCTCATTCTCACCTGCTCCTACCTCTGCTCTGAGGCCAGCGGAGAAAATTGCTTTGGTGCTTTGCCACTCTCTGAGATTTAAGGTGGGAAGTTGAAGTCGCAGACCCTTAAAAAGTCATATCGTGACTCGGGACTTAACAGCAAGACAGGCACGAACGCCTGGTGTGGCCAGCTTTCTTCCTCGCACCCTTGTTAAGTTCCAGTCTTCACAACTGCTGCCCAGCAGGGGCAGTTTGGGCCTTTCAGAAAGAGGGGAGGGACAGGGTGCAATCTGCCACCTCCACCAGCCGCCTATGTGGTCCCAAAAGTGAACGCTTGGGGAAGAAGCGCCTCAAGGCGTCTGGAAAGTGTGCAGCCGAGAACCCCTGACCCCAGCAAGCTTTGCTGACTGTTCCCATGAGTGATTGCCCATCTCTTTCTTTCTTTCCTGAGGGGTAGTTCTCCCTTGCCCTCAAGTCCAGCTTCCCTGAGATGAGCACCTCTGGCTACACCTTTGTTCCTCAGGCTCCAGTCAGAAGATTGGTAAGGATTAACTAGTGTGGCCGACTTCTCTAGATGTGTGGTGGAGGCTTGCCCAGCTGGTGTCTGGGACAGAAGTGGCTGTCAGGTCCTCATTGTGGCTGTCTGGACAGTGCGTCTCATGCAGTCCTCTTCTCCTCTTCACTAGAACATTAGGGAGCCTGGTCTCCAGAGAGGGAGCAGTTACAAACTGTCAGCCTGAAGGGACCAAGGAACCCCGTCCACCCTCCCAGAGGGAAAGCTCTTGCCTAGGACCACCTTGCCCACAAGCATGCCAGCAGCAGACCCAGGACGAGAAGCCAGGCCTCCTGCCTGCTGGTTGTATGCTCCATGCTAGGCCAGAGACCCCTTAGCTGTGGGTCCTGGACTCTTGGGCAGCCAGGTTACAGCAGCTGCCTTTCCAGTCCATCTGCTTCTTCCTTTAATGATTAGGATCATTAAACGTAGACTGGTTTTTTTGGACTTAGAAACAAAAGGAGGAGGGACGACCTTGTACTTGAAAAGGCTGGTTCCTAAGATGGTTCTAATCTGAAGGCCTGAATTCTCTCACACTTGCAGTTTTAATGATAGCCACCTCATATTCAGTGCCCACCACATGCCAGGTGGTAAGCAAAATGTTTTTAGTGTGTAGTCTTGCCTGTTTCTCCTACTCACCCACGAGGGTGGTGCTGTCAACATCCCTGTCTTACGGGTGAGGACCTGGAGTATGCCCTCAGTGACACAGCCGAGAGGTGGGGTCCTGGGATTCAGCTGCAGGTTCTGACCTCAGATTGGAGAAGGATTCTACATGGCAGATGCAGAACAGAACTATCTGGCCAGACCTGGCCGAGGGACTGCATCTGGTTGAGGGGCTCCTCACCCATGCTTGCGGTCCCCACCCTGCAAGACCACCATCTTGATTTTCAGTGCATCTTGGGGAAGCTTTTGAGGCTTGCTGTCCCTCTCTTGTTGTCCAGGTGATGAGCAACTTGGAGTGAGCCGTATCTCTAAAACTTCCTATGTGGTGAGGAGGCAGAGGTGTTGCGGGACACTTGAGTTTGTGTGCGCATCTCAGCTAGTAGAGGGATGCAGCAAGATGCTTAATTCCATCATGGACCAGTTGCGTGAGTGGATATGAGCATGACCTTAGGCCAGGCATGCTTTTGTATCAGTTTGTCGAATCCTCACCACAGTCCTTGGGATAGGTACTATTATTATTTCCGCTTTACACATGAGGAAATGGGGCATAGTGACTTGTTCAAGGTCGCACAGCTAGGAATTGGTAGAGCCAGGATCTAAATTCCCCCACCCCAGGACTTCTGCCCTTAATCTTCCTCATCATAAAGCATGGTTGAGTGAGTTCCCTTCAGGCAAACAGGACTGTGTGGCCCTGTGTTCTGTAATCCAGCTGTGGTTGTCTAGGCCAACAACCAGGGAGATTTCATTCACAGAGTGGGCCCCTCAATGAAATTAACAGCCACCCAAAGGCCCAGTGAAGAGGACTGTCTCCCCCAGGAACTCTGGGCTGATCTTGAGCACATTTGTTACTTGTGTTATTGAACTGAAGGAGCCTGGGGCCAGGTGATGATAAATCCATGCCTTTGGTGGCCTCTGGAAACAACCAGGAACTGTGGATAGTCAGATGGCCTCCTTCCTGTGTTACCACAATGGGGCTGGTGTCTGGTGGCCATGTGCTTCCATTCAGTGTTCTCAAGGACAGTCCAGAGTGGTTCCAGCTTGCCTCACCCTCCCTAGAGCTGCCGATGGCATATGTTTTTGAGATCTGCTTTGACCTGGGTCTATGGCTTTGGACCTTGGCCGTGGAGTAGAATAGCTCTCCATAGGCACATAGCCCATGTGGTGCTTAAACTCTTCACTGGGTTAAAGCCACCAAAGAGAGCAGTGCAGCCCTCTGACCGGGGAAGCAGGGTGCTAGCATGGATCCTTCTGGAACCATGTCTCCATACTGGCCCTGTCTGCCTCTACTTCCTTAGTGGGATTAGAAGACCTGGCTGGAGTCCTACTTTTGCCATCACCTTGAGGCAATCAAGTAACCTCGGAGAGCCTGGTTTCCCTGCTTACCTAATAAAGTTCTTATGAAGTGTCTCGCTCATATTCAGGTGCGTGGGAGGTGCTTGGTGACTTCAAGTTCCCTCTCCACGCCTCTTCATGTGGCTCTGAGGCCTGCGTTAGAGCTTCCCTTTCTTTTAGAGTACTGCCAGCTGTCTATTGCGGCTCATATCCTAAACGGTCTCTCTCTTTGGTAACTTTGCACAAAAGATGGTTTTGTGGCCAGCCCTGAATAATGCAGCGAAGCCCCTGCTCCCAGCTCACACGTAGGGAGCTGCGGTCACGGTCAGACCACTTGGCATAGATCTCGAGACTTGAAACGGGGGGCTTGAAGCCATCGTTTGTGAATTAGTATGTTTTTCTCTCTTTTGTTTTTGGTAAAACCAACTTCCTGTACACTCGCTTGTGTTTTAAAACCCTGAAACGGAGACGGCTCTCAGCCCTTGTCCACTGCTTGCCTGGTTCATAAGACGGTTATGAATTAAAGATTATAGCCGTTAAAAGGAGATCATCTTTAAACAAACTCAGTTCCCTCTCCTCATGCCCCCTGAGTGTTTAAGGTTTTGTGTATAGCGAGTCCAAAACAAACAGAGATGTTCTTGTGAGATGTGGTGAGCAGGGACCAGAGACCGCAGGAGAACGAGGGCAGCAGAGGGACAGTGGGGGAGAGGCGGCGATTGCAGTTTGGAATTGTTGGCCTCCCGTTGGTGTGCTTGGAGAAGCAGGGCCACATGGAGGGCTCAGCAGAACCTGCCTCATGCCTCTTTGCTGTGTAACTTTGGGAAAACATTGGGTTTGCCCCTCTCCGACACACATACACGCACGCTTGTGTACATGCATACAGACATTCCCATCCCAGCTAATGTGTGGGTGTTATGTACAAACTCTACGGGCAAAGCTCTGCAAATTCATTGGGAAAGAAGTGTGGTAGAAACATCAGCAGGAAATTTTTTATTGAGTGCCTCATCACTGCATGTGAAGATGGACCTGATGCCCCCTGGGGACAGAGCCCTCATGAAACTCCCCTAAAGCTGTGAAGGTGAGGGATCTCTGGGTGCAGAGTAAAAAGCATTGATCAGCCACGGTCCTTTACCAGTAGCAATCACGGGCGTTTCTGAGCTTCTCCCTGGGGAGACAGAGATGTCAACAAGCAATTCCTGTTCTTGGCAGGGAGCTAGTGGGGCAAAGGACACAGGTGAGAAGGGATGAATCCTGAGCACTGGTCTGTTTGTGCCTCCTCTCAGAACATCTCAGAGAGGGAGTAAAGGGTGCGAGTGCTACTTTGCCCTGTCTTGGAGATGGCTGTGCAGATTTAGGCTTGGTCAAGGACTCTACCAGGGTTCGTTCTCAGGGGCATAATTGGGTGAAATTCCAGACTTGCTTCTTCTGGGTCAGCAAATCTTCACTGTAGATGTTGATGGAGTTCCCAGGGCTTCATCATCTTAGAGTTTATTTTAGGCAGATGATTGCCTTCTGGGTCATTCTCAACCATTTAAGTATCCTTGGCAGGAGAACTTATCTGAATGGGCCAAGGCTCTGTAAATTGGGAGCAAGGCACATTTTCCCACCCAATCCCCATGTACCTGGGCCCTGTGGTTTCATGGGCACTTCATCTGGAAAGTTCCTGGCTTTGGGGAGGAGAGGAGGAGAAGTTTGGCAGTCTCTTGTTCCCAAGGGCTAGAGTTTTACGTGGGGTCAGACTGTTTCTTGATTAATTGGTTTTCAAAAGAGAAACATATTCTTTCAGGATGTAATGTCTCTAGGAGAAAAATAATTTATAAAGTAGTGGTGGAGATGTTAGAGAATACTCCTGTAACTCCTATCATTTCAAAGTTAGGAAATGTGAAGCTCTAAAAGAGTGATCTTAGAAAATTTCACAAGATCCCCATTTCTCTGGGCAGAATTGAAGTCTAGATGGAGGACTGAACATTTTCCCCTTTGGGCCACTTTTCCTCAAGACTGAGGTGTTAGGAGACACAAGGGCTCCTTGGCCAAATAAATGTAGCAACTGCTGAATTAAGTGTTTGCTAAATGCAGGACTTCTCAGAGTCTTTACTCTACTAGCAAGTGGTCTGATTTTCTAAGAGCTCATTCCTGAACTTATTTGGCCACTGAACTTATTTTAAGGAGACTCTCACAGGACTGATGTCTCTTGAAACATTCCTTGACAAACTTCCTCAAGTCTCCTCCCCCATTAGGGCTTCAGATTCCCCAACTGTGAAACAAAGGAGTTACTAGAGTATTCTCTAACATTTCCACCATTTCTTGTTATTTTTTTCTAGAGACCCTATGTCCTGAAAGAATATGCTTCCCTTCTGAAAACCAATTAACCAATAAATATTGGGAAGTCAGATGAATGCAGACTTGATAGATTGAAGTCAGATAGATATATTTGTGTCAACTTAGGATATACATATACATAAATATATCAGATGTCATACTGTGTACATAGTATATATTTTAAATATATCAACTTGATTTTTTATGTATACATATTTTATATGTGAAAGCGTAT